GGCCTCCGGCCTCCAAAACCTGGGGACCGGCGGGGCGGGCCTCCAAAACCTGGGGGAGGCGGCGGGGCGAGGACCAGCCCGAGCCTGGCCCCGAAACCGGTTATGCACCAAAAATCTCGCCCCAAACCGAAGTCTACACTGAATTTCGTGGTGCAATGAGTAAAAAGGGGCAGAGATTGCATCTTTTTTTGGTTTTGTTTTGGGTTTTTAGGCAACTGTTGTGTTTGGGTTTTTGGTTTTTTTGGTGACGGCCCCCGCTCCCTTGGCGGGAGAGGAGCATCCCGCAGCAGCGGGCCTCCAAAACCTGGGGACGGGGAGGCGGCGGGGCGAGGACCAGCCCGAGCCTGGCCCCGAAACCGGTTATGCACCAAAAATCTCACCCCAAACCGAAGTCTACACTGAATTTCGTGGTGCAATGAGTAAAAAGGGGCAGAGATTGCATCTTTTTTTGGTTTTGTTTTGGGTTTTTAGGCAACTGTTGTGTTTGGGTTTTTGGTTTTTTTGGTGAGAGGGATCAAGGGCATCTTTGCGCCAAGAAATCACCGGCAGCGGCTCAGCTCGGTGACAGCCCGGGTCTGGGGCAGGGAGGACCACTTCTAGTTGTCTGTGGGGCTGGGGACTTTCTGATGGTGCAGCCCTAACCCTACACTCCGTCGCTCCCTCCCGGTCCGGGCCATCAAGCGATGGAGCAAAGGACCTTTTTCTCAGTCGTCCGCCTCTCATGCTCCCAAGTCACCGCGTTGGGTGAGCGCCTGTGGGTCGTGGAGGTTTTGGGAAGTCGGGGTGGAGCTGTGAGCTGACAGCGAGCTGGCTGAATGAGCGCCTTTGTGCGAGGAGCGGGTCCTGACCACACGGGTGGGAATACAGATAAATGCATATATTACATTACTGAGAACAGGCTCGACGTGCATGGGAAAGCAGGTGCATTTTTTCTTCTCGGTGCTTAAATACGTGACCATAGTTAATCGTGCAGCTGGCAAAGATGTTTTGGCTATGACATCCCGGCTTAAATATCGCGGACGTGGAGAAGCACAGACAGTGCTGGTCCCCAGAGCTGCAGGGACCGCGGCACCGGGAGCAGAGCACCCCGTCTCCGCACGCCGCTCCCCCGCCCCCAGCTCCGTGGGGTGTTTTACTTGGGGGGGGAAAGCGATGGTCTGGTCCGCTGCGATGACACAAAAGTTCCCAGCATCAGTGGCTGCCAGGCTGGGCGCGGAGGCCCAGGAGGGGCACCGTGTTCCAGGGGTTCCTGTTGCAGCCGGCGACCGGAAAATGTGTAATAAAACAATGAAACCGCCTGCAGATTACATCGACCCCCTCCACCTCCCAGGAGGAACAGGAAACTTTTAAATGCTCTTTTACTGTAAAGGAGGAAACTCCTTCGCAGCGAGCAGGACTTTTGCCTACATTGTACTGCTGGTACCAGTCCTTCCATGGAAAAGCCTTGGGTGGGGAGAAGCGGGGATGAATAGCGACTGCTTTGGCTGCAGGGGAACGTCTGGTGGTGGCTGGTGCCACGAGAGCCTCCTTGTAGGCGGCTGAGGGTGCCCTGACACGGGGCGGTTTGTCAGCGCCCTGGGAAGTGCCACCCCAGCAGCTCGGGAGCAGCTCTCCTGCTTGGGGTGATTACCTAGGGGATCCTGCCCCCAGCGCCTGTAAAAGATGAGTTTGTCTAAGCCAAAGTGCTCCCCGTGGCTGGAAGGATGACCAGCAGTAACGGCTTTAAACCCTCTCCTGGTGCTGCCCTCCGTGCCGAGCTAACCAGCCTTTTCCCTCCCTCCTTCCTTCCTTCCAAACCTCACGGAGCCGAGAGATTTGAGATGAGAGGGTCTTCACCGAGAGCGAATTATTTTAACTGAATTGCCTAAGAAGCAAAATCAACCTGCCTTCCCGCAAGTGAAGCTCGCCAGACAGTTAATTTTAAAATAAAACACAGGTCATTCCCCCC